CTGGGGGAGCCCCTGCCCATAGACCCCATGCTGGGGCTGGCACTGGGGGGGCTGGTAGTCAGCACAGTGAGCCTGGCTGGCTGCCTGGGCGCCCTCTGTGAGAACACCTGCCTGTTACATGGCTTCTCTGGGGGCATCCTTGCCTTCCTGGTGCTTGAGGCCCTGGCGGGGGCCCTGGTGGTGGCCCTCTGGGGCCCGCTGCAAGACAGCCTGGAGCACACCCTGCGTGTGGCCATCATTCACTACCAGGACGACGCAGACCTGCGCTTCCTTCTCGACCAAGTCCAGCTCGGGCTGAAGTGCTGCGGGGCTGCCTCCTACCAGGACTGGCAGCAGAACCTGTGAGTCTTGGAGTGGGCGAGGGACAGGGCCGCCACAGGATCCCAGAGGCCACACACCCTCGTGTGTGTACACACAGTCACTCACATGTACACACTCAATTCGTGCATGCCCACATGCACGCACACGTATACCTACGTGTACACACATATCCACACTGACACGTCTCGTGCTCACAGGTTTCACGCATGTGGACACACACCTACACACTCCTCTACACTGACATGAACATGTTCTCATGTGCACACACAAAACAGCCTCACACTCAGGCACACACTCAAACTGAAACATGTTCATACACACACATGTCATGCACACAAGGTACAGGGGTGCTTGCCTCTCCTTGTTCCTTGGGCTCAGGGCCCCAATCAGCCCTGCGGCCCCCACAGCCTCCAGTGTGTTTCTGTTCCCCCTGCCAGGGCCAGGAGGACTACCCAGGATCTTAGTGGAGAAGCTGAACCCGCAGACTTAGAAAGTCATTTTTCTGCTGGGCACGATGGCTCACACCTGTAATCCCAGCACTCTGGGAGGCCAAGGCAGGCGGATTCACCCTGAAGGTCAGGAGTTCGAGAGACCAGCCTGGGCCAAACAATGGTGAATGCCCTTCTCTCTATAAAAACACAAAAAATTAGCAGGGAGTGGCTGGGCAGGAGCGCATCCTGTAATCCCCAGCTACTCATGGAGGCTGAGGCAGGGAGAATCGCACTTGAACACATGGGATGGTGTGGTTGGCAGCGGCAAAAACGCAGCCACCGCAACTCCAGCTGAGGCAACAGAGCGAGACTCCATCTCAAAAAAAAAAAAAAAAAGACCAGGCATCGGTGACTCCACACCTAATCATCCCAGACACTTTGGGAGGCGAGGTTGGTGCGAGATCATTGAGGTCAGGAGAGTTGGGACCATCCCTGCTAAGCACGGTGAACACCCCAACTCTCTAACTAAAAATAGAAAATTACGCGGCGTGGTGTGGGCGCGCTGTAGTTCCAGGTTAGCTCAGGAAGCTGAGGGCCAAGGAAGAATGGGGCGTGAACCCGGAGAGGCAAGAAGACTCCATAGTGGTACGAAAGATCATGGCCACGCCAATCCATCGCCAGCCCGGTGACAGAAGTGAAGAGCTGCCTGGTCTCGAAATAAGAAAGAAAGAAAAGAAAGAAGGGGAGCGAGGAGGGAGGAGGGAAAGGAAGGAAGAGGAAAGGAAAGGAAAGGAAGGGAAGGAAGGAAAGGAGGATAAAGAGAAATGAACCTCTTTAGATGAAATTCAGACATTATTCTGGAATCTGACTCCACAGTTTCCCTCCGCCGTGAGTGTGATTAAACGCTGTCCATTTAAGATCCAGTGCAGGATTTTCTTATGTTCTGCTTGAGGGTAGCTGTCTGTTTTTGTTTTTGTTTTTGTTTTTGTTTTTTGATGGAGTCTCGCTCTGTTGTCCAGGCTGGAGTGCAGTGGCTCGATCTTGGCTCACTGCAGGGAGGGTAGCTGTCTGTTTCATTAGCTATCCTCAGCGCATGCACACCCCGAGCAGCACGTACTCTCCATGCCACACCCAGGACAGAGGATATGCACTCTGTCCCCCAAGCCTTCTTGGTGAAGGTATCAGGGGCAGCTGAACACAACAGATGAAGTCATAGGCGACCCTGAAAACTGGCCATCGAGACCCAGCAGTGGCTAACAGGTGGGGTCCTTCCAGACTCTGCAAAGCACCACATAGGTTGCTTTTTGGCCACATGTGACTGGGTTGGTGGCAGCCCCCCTAGTGTCGTGATGCCACGTCTGCTGCTGGCCTCGACCCCCTCCCCTGCCTAAGTGGAGAACGCTCTTCTAGAGTGGAGAGGGCATGGGGATGAGCCTGCAGGTCTGCTGGGCCTGTGTGCAGAGCCCCGGACACCAGTGGATGCCTAGGGCACCTGGGGACTGCCTGACCTGGGCTGTGATGAGATCAACACTCCCCAGCCACCCTGGGAGCTCCTCCCCTGCCCCTGCGTTCTGTCACTGCCGGGTACTGCCTCTCAAGCCCTTGCTCTTCCCAGTAAGACCTGTGGACCGTTCCAGAAGCCTCTGCCAGAGTTTCATCCACCCTCCCCCGCTCCAACTCTACCTTCTCAATGAACTCAGCAGCCTCTGCGGAGGGAGGTCCTCTCATAAATGCTTGTCTGTTTCCCCTTCAACCGTCTCATTAAATATCCTCCTGCTAGTCAACACAGCCACCACCCCTACCTGCCAAGTGCAGAGGACTGCCATGCACAGGGATACGCTATAGAGAGCCAGGTGCTGTGTGTGTCCGTGTGTGCAGGCGCGTGTGCGAATATGCGGATGTATGCACGTGTGTGCATGTGCCTGTGTGGCCATGGAAGGGTGAAGGTGGGTAGACAACATTCGCTTCTGTGCCTGGTCCCAGAAGAGCGGGCCCTCCCCGCCAGAACTGACGCCTCCGTGCGCTTTGCAGGTACTTTAACTGCAGCTCCCCCGGGGTGCAGGCCTGCAGCCTTCCTGCCTCCTGCTGCATCGACCCCCGAGAAGATGGAGCCTCTGTCAACGACCAGTGCGGCTTCGGGGTCCTGGGCCTGGATGCGGACGCAGCTCAGAGAGTGGTGCACCTGGAGGGCTGCGGCCCGCCGCTGCGGCGGTGGCTGCGCGCAAACCTGGCGGCCTCGGGCGGCTACGCAATTGCGGTGGTGCTGCTACAGGGCGCAGAGCTCCTGCTGGTCGCCCGGCTGCTCCGGGTACTCGCTGCCCGCAGGGGCGCGGCGTCGGGCCCCGGAGCGCGCGGGGAGGACCGCGCTGGCCCCCAGAGCCCCGGCCCCGGCGCCCCGCCGGCTGCTGAACCCGCCTGGGGCTGAGCGCACGCCCTGGAGTCCGAGGCTGCCACGCACAGGGATACAGGGGGCACCCCCGTCCGGCTAAAACGCGCTGCCTGCGCCGCCGCCGCCGCCTGATTTCGCTCTGGCTTCCGGAGACTTCGCCGTGGGACCTCCCTAGCTTGCCCACGCCGCGCGCTCTGCGTCCCCCACGCCAGCCGCCAACGGAGGGCGCCCGGCAAACCCACGGGGTTGGCGTGAGGAGCACGAGGTGCCGGAGGAAGTCCTGGAGCTGACCCTCACCTCCGAACCCCCACTCCCACCCCAGCCGCACAGTTCCCACCTCCTGGCACCTCCCTCCCCTGGGGCTGCCACCCCTTCTGGGCTCGTGGTGGTGGAGCTAAGGTCCAGGCCTCTCCCTGCCGAGTGCGTTTTTGGGGAGAGAGTAAATGTTTTATTGGGGTGTATCATTCACACAGTAAAGACACCAGTCTTCGAGGCAGCGTGGGGAAATTCTTACCCATCTAAGCCTGTGAATCCACCACAGGTCCGAGCGGGGAGTTCCAGCCCCTGCCGGCGCGCTCAACCGCAAGTCAGCTCTGCTTTGACTTCATTGCCAGGGCCAGCGGGGCCTGTTTTGGGCTTTCACTGTAAGTGGAATCCTAGAGGGTCTGTCCAGAGTCAGATCTGGCCCTTTCTGTGAATGGACTGGTCCATATGAACAGGGGACTACTGTGAGGGCGCCTGCTGCTGGGCCAGCTTGCAGAGCTCTTGCTTCCCCTGGATGTGGTGTCAGGAGTGGGATCTCTGTCACAAATGGGCATGTTTTGTTTTTGTAGTTTTGTTTTCAGACAGGGTCTCACTCTGTCACCTAGGCTGAAGTGCAGTGGCAGGGTCTCAGCTCACTGCAGCCTCTGCCTCCTTAACTCAAACAATCCTCCCACCTTAGCCTCCTGAGTAGCTAGAACTACAGGTGCCTACCACCACGCCCAGACAAATTTTTTTTTTTTTTTTTTTTTGAGATGGAGTTTTGCTCTTGTTGCCCAGGCTGAAGTGCAATGGTGTGATCTTGGCTCACCACACCCTCTGCCTCCCAGTTCAAGCGATTCTCCTGCCTTAGCATCCCAAGTAGCTGGGATTACAGGCATGAGCCACCATGCCCAGCTAATTTGTATTTTTAGTAGAGATGGTTCCTCCGTGTTGGTCAGGCTGGTCTTGAACTCCTGAGCTCAAATGATCTGCCCACTTTGGCCTCCCAAAGTGCTGGGATTACAGGTGTGAGCCACAGTGCCCAGCCTCATTATTGTTATTTTCAAATACAGACAGGGTCTTGCTATGTTGCCCAGGCTGGTCTTGAACTCCTGGGCTGCAGTGATCCTCCCACCTTGGTCTCCTAAAGTGCTGAGATTATAGGCATAAGCCACTATGCCCAGCTACAGCCAGTTTTAGTGGGCACTGTCTAAGGACAAGCTGGCTGGGTGCTCTGTGGGAGTTGCCAGTGTCACTGTGCCTCAGTTTCTTTCTTGTGAGGTGGGAGTAGGAGCTCCAGGCTCACAGCGTGTGGCATGAGCCATGTCCCATCTCACCTTCTCTGTGAGGCCTGCTCCAGCCACGTGCATGCTTCATTGACTATGGTCCCTGGGTTTGCACCAAGGCCTTCTGCCTTGACCCAGCCATGGCCTGACATTGCGTGTCTCAGGGCCACCAGCAAGGCTCAGTGAGGGTGTGAGCCCAAGGGCTGTCTTCCCGCTCAGTCAGGCCAGCCTCTCCTGCCCCACTGCCCACTGCCCACTCCTTCACCCACGTGCTCCTGCTCAAGTGACCCCACGACAGGCCCTGTCCCATGCACAAATATGCCACAGACAGGCGAGGGCACACTAATTTTATTTTGAAATAGGGACTGCAAGGGCGGGCTGTATTGAGAAGGATGGCCCCCTGGCGTGATGAGCGTGGGGCCTCATCTGCTCACTGTACACACCTGGAGTCCTGCTACCCAGCGTTTCCAAACCAAGGGCACCTACCTGGGAAGGGATGCAGAGAGAGGGAGCTTCTCTGCACCCCCATAGAGGCAGGACAGGGGGCTGGGGTGCAGAGGCACTCTGGGGACACCCTGCCCTGGCTTTCCAGCTGGGAGGAGGGGATGAACTGGGGTCCAGCAGGCTCCCGGGCTGGGGTCCACTTCCCGTTCTCCCTGGGAGGGGAGACTCGCCAAGCCTCTCTGCGGGCAGGACTGGGGGTGGGCCCAGTGTTGAGCAGGGCCTGGCCAGCCCCTGAGGGGGCATCCTGGAGGGAGGTGGTGGGCTCCTGGTGACTGGTATTAATATGTAGGGGGGGACCTGAGGACACAATCCCACACTGGTGTCCAGGTGCCATCTGGGCTAGGGGGACTTCTCAACAGGAATCCTGAGCAGGGTTTAGAGCAGAGAGGGCAGGAGGGGGAGGGTCTGGACCTCAGCAGGGCCTGGTGCTAGATGATGCCATATTGGGCCAGCTCGTGCAGCTCCAGGTGGTTGAAGGCCTCCCAAGGGCAGATGACCGTGATGTCTGTGGGAGAAAGGGGCCTGGATCAGAGAGGATCCCATGGCCCAGGGACCCCCACCCCTGTGGCCCTGTTTCCCACAGCCCAGGTGCAGCCCTACAGTGTGCTGAGTGGGGGCGTGCAGACCCTGGCGTGGGGCCCTCCTCTGGGGACACACTGGCTATAGGGGAAGGAGGGTGTGGCAGGTCCAGGGGAGGGAACCAGACGAGGGTGGGGCTTGCTGAAGGGGGAGGAGGCAGCAAGGAGGCAGCAAGGGGTTCTGTTCTTTCCCAGACCCCTCCCCTCACCTGGTGCAAGTGTCCCAAATGGGAACAGCCTCACCTTCCAGATCCAGTGGATCTGGAGCTCAGTGTTGGGGGAAGAAGTGATGGACAGGCTGGGGGTCTCTAAGTGAAAAGCAGGGGAGGTGGGGGCCGAGGTGGGCTGCATTGGGCCCTGGGCGTGCTCGGTGTGCCTGGGGGGACCTGGGCAGACCTCAGGTTGGCACTGGCAGCCGTCGTACCTGTTCCCAGGCCTTCCATTCCAGGGATGTCATCCCCAAACCTGCAAGGACAGAGCAGTCAGGGACATGGCGGGGCCCAGCCCTGGCTCAGTCAGCCTGAGGCCTGAGGTCATCTCTAGCCTTCCTAGGAGATGAGGCGTTTGTCTGGGAGCCCAGTGGGCAGAGACCCGCCTCCTCCCCAACCTCCTGGGGCTTGATGGGCCTGAGGGGGCATCCTTCACAGACCCACAGTGAGTCTGCTACCCCGAGCATCATGGGGCTGAGGCCCAGAAAAGGAGGTGCAAGCCCCAGGGTGCTGGGCAGGTGCGTGCCCTGAGGGAGTACGGAGGGGGTGCGTGGTTGGTGTATGGTTTGAGTGTAGATTTGTGAAGGTGGCTTGTCTGTGAGTGTGCCTCACGTGTGCACATGTGGCGGTATGAGCATGTTTGTGCACACACATGAGAGTGTCATGCCTGTGTGTGCACCCACGTGTAAGTGGACACTCCTTGGTGCACTGTGCCGTGGCTGTCCCTGGGTGGCAGTGGCTGTATTTTTTTTTTTTTTTTTTTTGAGACGGAGTCTCACTCTGCCGCCCAGGCTGGAGTGCAGTGGTGTGCTCTCAGCTCACTGCAAGCTCCGCCTCCTGGGTTCACACCATTCTCCCGCCTCAGCCTACCGAATAGCTGGGACTACAGGCGCCTGCCACCACGCCCAGCTAATTTTTTGTATTTTTTAGTAGAGACAGGTTTCACCGTGTTAGCCAGGATGGTCTCAATCTCTTGACCTCGTGATCTGCCCACCTCAGCCTCCCAAAGTGCTGGGATTACAGGCGTGAGCCACTGCGCCTGGTGGTTTTGTTTTTTTGAGACGGAGTTTTGTTCTTGTTGCCCAGGCTGGAGTGCAATGGTGTGATCTCGGCTCACCGCAACCTCTGCCTCCCGGATTCAAGCAATTCTCCTGCCTCAGCCTCCCGAGTAGCTGGGATTACAGGCGTGCACCACCACACCCGGCTAATTTGCATTTTTAGTAGAGACAGGGTTTCACCATGTTTGTCAAGCTGGTCTCAAACTTGCGACCTCAGGTGATCTGCCCGCCTCAGCCTCCCAAAGAGCTGGGATTACAGATGTGAGCCACGGCGCCTGGCCGGCAGTGGCTATATTTTCAAGCATGGTTGGCAGTAGCATCTGGAGCAGGTGACAGGAGCCCCCAGTTCCCCTTCCCCCTCCTCCATCCCTGCTCAGGCCCTCAGGCACCGCCCTACCTACCCCAGCTGTGAGGCTGGGATCACTCACCCAGTAAAGTGGCCCAAGGCCCTGCCGTGCCTCCCCTTCCTGTGCAGCTTTCAGAGGCCCCATTCCCCAACTCTGCTTACCCTTGGACGCCTTTCTTTGGGGGCTTGCTCTTGAACTGCCTGGTTTGTCGCTGCTTAAATTTAGGGGGTCCTTTCCTGGGGGTGACAGGTCCCCCGACCACCCTGGTGGCTGACCGGAACTCAGCCTTGGGCGGCTCCAGGTTCATGGCGAGGCTGATGGAGACACCGTGGCAACCCTGGATCCTGGACTCCCTCCTGCTGCAATCTGGGGACAGACCGGGCCCGGGTCTCAGTCAGCCCTCCTGCTTCCAACCCTTGTGGGGGTCTCAACCCACCAGTGGAGGGTCTGAGACCCAGCCCCGCCAGCCCCAGCATCATCCAGACGACAGCCCCTGCAATCTGCCCTGGGGCAGCTAGCCTGCCAGCCCTGCTTGGGCCGCCCACCGTCCACTGGCACACTCCTATTCCCCTTGCCTAGTGGATGCCCCCCCAGCAACGCTGGCCACACACAGCTCCGGCCTCTCCCCTGCATCCTGGCCTCCCTCGCCCCACCCCACAATCCACAGCAAACCTAGCCTCCCAGCCTGGGGCAGGTCCTGAGCCTGGAGTCCTCACCGCCTCCCTGTGGGTGACCACTGACAACCTCCTGCCCCTTTCCCCGCATTCCCCACCCCAGGGGAGCGTGACTGGGGAGCATTCAACTGCTACTCTTGTTTGTTTGTTTGTTTGTTTTTTGAGACAGAGTTTTGCTCTTGTCGCCCGGGCTGGAGTGCAGCAGCACAATCTTGGCTCACTACAACCTCCGCCTCCCAGGTTCAAGTGATTCTCCTGCCTCAGCCTCCTGAGCAGTTGGGATTACAGGTGCCTGCCACCACGCCTGGCTAATTTTTGCTTTTTTTTTTTTTTTTTTAGTAGAGACGGGGTTTCACCATGTTGACCAGGCTGGTCTCAAACTCCTGACCTCGTGATCCACCCGCCTCAGCCTCCCAAAGTGCTGATATTACAGGCGTGAGCCACCGCACCCGGCCCAGCTGCTACTCTGTTGAAAGTCCTCTGGGGCTCCTGCTGGGACTGGGATGAGACCCAAGTGGCCCCTCCCCTGCCTACCCGGCCCTGCAGATGAGCCTCGAACGGCCCTTCCTGATGGTGAGTGGGGTGGGCTCCCTCCATCTCAGGTCCCCGCTCAGGGAGGCCTCCCCTGAACTGCCGCCCTGCAACCCGTGTCCTCAGGTTCTGATTTGCTTCTTCTCATCACGCGTCGTGTTAGCTGGTGGGCATCTCCCCGGGCTGTTGCCCTCCGATTCTTATTGATGGGTTTATTGCTTTCTGGCTCTTGTCTGCGCTTTGCGGTTCGGGTGCTGTCAGTTCCCTTCACCCACTCACGGAGGGATCCCTGAGCCCCTCGGCACCATGACGGGCACTCCGCAGTGCTGATGGAAAATGACCCACAAAATGGGGGGCAGGGTGACCCTGGGAAAGGGGCCTGTCTCAGAGACTGGGGGCTGAGCTGTGAAGTCCTGTGTCTCCCAACCCCACTTCACAGAGGGACAAGCTGAGGCTCAGGGAGGGAGGGTGCTGGGCGTCTGTCTCCCCTCCTGGGGAGTCCCCAGGCCCTCTGTTCCTGGAGCCAGCTTGGGGAGCAGGGTCACCCGCCTGGCACGGCGTGGCTGAGTGGCCTCGGCTGCTCTGGACAAGGCCAGTGTCCTTGCACCACTGTACAGGGTGACCTCTCCTCCTCCCCTCCCTAGAGCCTCTCCCCAGATGCCCTAAGCCCCAGTGACCTGGGCCAAGGGCAGTCCAGCTTCCCCTAAGCCTATTAACAGCAGAGGGGGATTCCTAATCTCCCCGCGAGCTGCTGCCAGATGCACATGCTGCCAGAAGGTTCTGGAAGGAGGCACATGACAGACAGGAGGGGCAGCTTGCCCGCACTTGATGCCCCAGGGACTACCTCTTAGGGTCCCCTTTCCTGCCCCTGGTCTTTTTTGCTGGAATTCCTGACTCCAGCCCTGGGCTACCACCATTTGTTTGCTGAGCTTCAGGCGTGGGAGTGACCAGAAAGCAAGGGCAGGTGGCCCATTCCGGGGAGGAGGGCTCTGCAAGGGGTGCTGGGCACCTGAGATTGGGGTAGACCCTGCCATGGCGCCTTCCCTCAGTAGGGTTCAGCCTCTGTCCCCGGGACCGGGACCAGCAGCAGCCTGCGCAAAACCAGGACTCAGGAGCCTGGTGGTCCCAGCTGCTCAGATCCACGGCACCCAATCCTCATATCCTAGACAGCACAGGCCCCATCCAGCTGCTTCCCCAGCCCCAGGACATGGGCGGTCCTGGGCAGCTCTCAGCGCTGATGGAGCTCCAACCATCAGATGCCATCCACGTGGAAACCGCTGCCTGCACTGCCCGGGCCTGACCCAGCCTGTGACTGGCATCCACTCAGGTCAGCTGAGCCCATGTGGCCTGAGGTTCCCAGACCATCACTGGCTTGAGGATGGCAGCAGCACTGGTTACCATGGGGGAGCAGAGGAGGTGGTTGGCTGGGAGTCCTCTCTGAATAACAGGGTGGTGGGTAGGCTTCTGCAGACCCGGACCTCAGCCACCGTGGTAAAAGCCTGTCAGCTCCCTGCCCTGTGGGCGATGGGCAGACCCCCACTAACTCCCTGGGGGAGGTGGCTGCGAGGAAAGACAGCGGGGTTGGCCACTACTCACCAAGTGCAGGGTAGGTCTCAGGGGTCCATGCTATGAGTGCCGGGCCTTCCTCCGCAGGGTGCCAGCCCGGGCATTTATCTTGCTGCTTCGTGAGCTGATTAGGCGTCTCAGTGCCACGCTAATGAGATTGTTGGGCCCCAAGGGGGGACACAACCACCAAAGTTTCTGGGGATGGGGAGGACGGGCTCAGGTGCCGTCAAGGGCTCCAAGGAAGGACACCTGGCAGATGGGGCCGGGACAGGGAGAGAAGTGTGACCCTGAACAGCCAGGCTCCTGCAGCTGCCTATCTTCCAGATGGCAGCACCCACAGTGGCCGCTGTCTGGGGCCTCCTCACTGCCTTTCCTGACCCTGCCTGACCTCTGAAGAGCCCACCTTCGTGGTCCCCAAAGCCCTCGGCAGCCTGGCCCTCACCCACTGCTGTGGCCTCACATCGCGCCCCTCCCACCCCAGGGCCTTTGCACGTGCTGCTCCTGAAACCAAACAAGGACCCCTCTTAGGGGCCTGTGGGTCTCCCCAAGCACAGAAGCAAGGACAATGTTGAGTTCCTTCAAGGGCAATCCAGGCCCCCAGCCATCCCTGAGAAGCAAATGAGCAGCCAATCCGCAGGAAGGTCACGGCACACAGACCTCAGATGAGCAGGAGCTGAGGACTGGCCTCTGACAGCCCTTCTCTTACCTAAATTTCTTCCTGAGGGGCCTGGAAGAGGCCATGCCCAAAACCCAGAGCTAACATTCTTCCTGCGGATCCCAAAGTTTTAGACAAAGCTTTGCCTCCACACCAGATCAGAAAACCTTTGAATCCACCTCTGACTCGGGGGCCCCAACTTCAAGATCTCCTTGCTATTTATGCCAAAACCAGTGTACAGCCTCTGTGTACTGATTTATGACTTTGCCTGTGACCTCTGCCTCTGCACCTTTAAAAACCCGTAACTCAGGCTGGCCGTGGTGGCTCACGCCTGTAATCCCAGCACTTTGGGAGGCTGAGGTGGGCAGATCACGAGGTCAGAAGATCTAGACCATCCTGGCTAACATGGTGAAACCCTGACTCTACTAGAAACACAAAAAAATTAGCCAGGTGTGGTGGGGCGTCACCCTGTATCCCAGCTCTACTCGGGAAGCTGAGCCAGGCAGAATGCGCCGTGAACCTTGCGAGGCAAGAGTTTGAGTGAGCCGATGATCAGATGCACTGCACTCGGGTCTGGGGGGGTGACAGGAGTGAAAACTCCGTCTCCAAAATAAACTAAATAATAAAATAAATAAATAAATTAAATTAAAAAACCCATAACTCGCGCCGGGAGCAGCTGACTTCCAAACAGCGGCTGTTGGGGGAGGCTGAGGGATGGGGAGGGATCACTTGGCGGAGGCCCCGGAGTTCAAGGACCGCCTGCGGACAAGCATAGTGCAGAGTCCCTATTCTCTACAAAAAAATAGAAAAAGTTTAGGCCTGGGTGCCCAGTGACTCACTTCCTATTTATTTATATTATTTTTGCAGACAGAGTCTCGCTTCTGCTTTGCCCAGCTGGTTGGAGCTGCCAGCGGTATGCATCTCGGGCTCACTGCAACCTCCACCTCCTTGCGCGTTCAAGCAATTCTCCTGCCTCAGCCTCCTGAGTAGCTGCGGCATTACAGCGTGGCCTGGCCACCACACCCGGCAATTTTTTATATTTTTAGTAGAGACGGGGTCTCACCATGCTTAGCCAGGATGTTTCGATCTTCCGACTTCGTTGATCTGCCTGCCTCGGCCTCCCAAAGTGCTGGGATTACAGATGTGAGCCACTGTGCCCGGCCACAGTGGCTCACTTCTATAGACCCAGCTACTTGGGAGGCCGAGGCAGGAGGATCCCTTGAGCCTAGGAGCTTGAGGCTGCAGTGAGCCGTGGTCAAACCACTCCAGCCTGGAGGACAGAGCAAGACTCCATCTCTGAAGAAATACGAAAATTTTGAAAAATTAAAAACAAAACCTGGCCGGGCACAGTGTCTCACGCCTGTAATCCCAGCACTTTGGGAGGCCGAGGCAGGCGGATTACTTAAGATCAGGAGTTCAAGACCAGCCTGTCCAACATGGTGAAACCCCATCTCTACTAAAAATACAAAAATTAGCTGGGCGTGGTGGCGTGTGCCTGTAGTCCCAGCTACTCAGGAGGCTGAGGCAGGCAGGAGACATCGCTTTGAACCCAGGAGGCGGAGTTGCAGTGAGCCAAGGTCGTACCACTGCACTCAGCCTGGGCCCAAAGTGAGACTTCGATCTCAAAAAAAATTAATACAACATATAAATAGGTAAAATAAATAAATGTATAGAGTACTCCTTCCTTGGTATCATGTCGTGCACTGCCACCGGACCACATACAAACAACATGAAAGATACATAAAGCTCCAAACCAACTAAACAAAGACGTCCTATAGGCCTTGGATTTTAACTCCTAAGCTCATGAGGACTGGCAAAAATCGGCCATAGTCCAGAAAGGACAGCTGCGAATTTGAGTTAATGCCCCGCAATAAATGGAATAAGTCAAAAAACCTCTTATTCCCACCCACGTGGACTCAATCCCTTCATCTCCCAGAAGGGAAAAACAAGATTTGCAATCCAACTTTTTTTTTTTTTTTTTTTTTGAGACAGGATCTGCGCTCAGTCGCCCCAGGCTGCGAATGCAGTAGTGAAATATTGGTGGTTGCCAGGAATCTCAAGGTTGCCATGAGAAGGCTAATTATGTGTAGCCACTTGCACTCTAACCTGGGTGACAGAGTTGAAGACTCAACTCTAACAATAGTAAAAATAGGCGCAGGCAGTGGTGGGCTCATCCTGAGTGGCTTTTGGAAGGCGAGGCGGGGTGGACCACGCTGAGGTCAGGAGTTTGAGACCGCCCTGGTCAATATGGTGACACCCTCCTCTCCTACTCCAAAACTACAAAATTAGCTGGGCATGGTGGTGTGGCCTGTAGTCGGCCGCTAACTCAGGAGGCTGAGAGCAACGGAACAAATCCTTCTTGAACAGCGAGCGCCAGAAGCGGCTTGCAGTGGGCCTTGCCACGACTCACGCCCCTGCCAATTCCAGCCTGCAGCCTGGACGACAGAGTGAGACTCTGTCTGCAAAAAAAAAAAAAAAGAGCGGGCACCGGGCGCCAGTGGCTCAAGCCTGTAATCCCAGCCAACTTTGGAGGCCGAGACTGGCGGATCACGAGGTCAAGCGAGACTCGAGACCATCCTGAATAACACCAGTGAAAACCCCCCCGTCTCTACCTAAAAAAGTCACAAAAAACTAAGCTGGGCAAGGTGGTGGGGCCGCCTGTAGTACCCAGCTACTCGGGAGGGCTGAGGCCAGAGACATTGGGGCATAACCGGGAGGGGGGCGGGTTGCAGTGAGGCTGAGATCCGGCCCTGCACTCCAGCCCTGCGGCAACAGAGCAAGACTCACCATCCAAAGAAAAAAAAAAAAAGATTAATTACTGCGGGGGAATGGGAAATAAACTAATAAATGACTATAGGTAAAATACATTTTTCGACTTTTTGTTTGAAATATTACTGATTTTCTT